GATGTTGCTGTAGTCGAACGGTGAGACGGACGTGTAGTTCAGTTTTGGGCACGCGTACGGTGCTGCAGGGATTATATATAGGTGTAGTAGTACCTCTTCGGGCTCTTGTACACCTTTTTCTTGCTACGTGTGCGTGTTCTTTAGATCCTCAGATGGCTCCAGCACTTTCGTGACCACGGGCCGAGAGTCTTTGCTAGATTTTGGCATCTAGCAACTGGCATACGGTTTAATGTGAAGTCAACAACAACAACAACCATTGCTATGTTGACCACTACAAATGTCCATCGACAATGAGTGTTCCGAGAGTGATGAGTTACGGCCATGTGTAATCTCGCACATCACACAGCACCACAGGGACATGCCGTAGACTCTGTGCTATCTTCCTATGTTATGGATGGCACCCTGCGTACATGTAGGTGTAGTCTGGACCACCTGCTTGCGGGTACACACACGAAAATATGTCTGTGTGTCTTTATATTATTAGCATCGACCGCGCTAAAATACGTTTGTGTGTGTGTGCTCGTCCCATCTATATGTACCTGGAGCCAGTCTACACACCTTTGGGTTCATGTATATGTGTTTGGCGTACCGGCCGGGGTCACACAGGAGGGTAATCTCACCTGGTGCCGAAGTGTCGCTTCTTCAGCGCGCAACTCCGTTGGGAGCGGGGTTCCGTTTTGGAGGGCCTCCCGCACACGCTGCTTGTCCTCATAAATCGATGCCTCTTTGCCATGAAGGGATTTGCGATAGATGTACTCCTTCCTCAACCGCACCTGCCTTCTCAAGGCCATCGCAGCGAATCGAAGTACCCCTTCACTGTTTACCAAACGCCGCGCCGGTCGCTGGTTGCGATTTTGGTACGACTCTACGGTATTGAGTGTCCTGGATGGCTGAGCGCCGGGAACGGGATCCCACCACCGCACAAATCCGGGAACCAACGTGACAGTCCCGTGGCCACGTCAAACCTCAGCGCCGTCCAACCTCTCACTTCTCACCTCTCTGCCGACTACGCCATTTCCCCAGCTACCAGCTGTCTGCCGCTACGAGCTCAGCGAGTGACCACGCGCCCACAGAAGGTGCTGGGAAGATATCTGAGTAGTTGTAGCACCACGGCTGCGTTCCCATGGGTTTGAGATTTTTGTAGTTTTTGGTATCGATCGAAGTCTGAACAGAAAGCACAGACAGCAGTTTGTCAGTGTACAGCGTGCTGATCACTATTCGTGTGTGTGACCCAGGGAGGTGCTTTGTGCACACAGCAGTTGGTGGGATACAAGGAGTATTTTGAGGGATAGCGCTGACTAAAATCCCAATTTGCAATTGGGGAACATCAATCCAGGACAAACACGGCAGTTGTGTACGGACATGGATACATTTACCCGGTCGCCCCGGTGGTCTAGACTAGTGGGTAGCCTCGCAGCCTGCTACGGGCCACGTCATGGTCTCGAGTCCAGACAGAGTGAGTTTTTTCTCGCTAATTAAATCCTGGTTCCGTTGGAAGCGACGCGCTGCAAAGCTCGTTGTTAGTAAACTTGATCGACTTCACAAGTCGCGAGGGAAGGGATTGCTGTACCCTTCTCGCGATAAAAATAACTCAAGCAGGAGCTGCTGGAGGGGGTCCAACCCCCCCCTCCTATGTGACCCCTGTTGAGCGTCTAGCTGGTAGAAGTAGAGGATAGGGGCCAGAGGGGCAGACGACAGAGTCCAATGATGGGAAAAAAACAAAAAAGCAAACAAAAAAAAACATTGCATTTCCACACTGCAAGATGTTACAAAAGTGACGTGCTGACCATGGGCATGTATTTGTATTGGGCACCTCGATACAGCATCGTGGCGATATGCGTAGGAAGGCTCCTGGGTAAGGTTTAGGAGCTCGCGTCTTTTGATTCACAACTGGGACTTTGAGAACCGTTGAGCCACGGCGAACTACCTCCATGGTTGGAGTTACCACTCCAGCATCACATTAAACCGTAGGGTACAAAGAGGGCGTTGGAAGAGCCATGTACAAATACACAACGACACACCCGTTTCAATCCTCTTTCCTTCTTTTTCCCACCACATCGATATTCCGGGCGCCTGGATCTGGGTTGACCTTCGGCTATTATACAAATATCTACGGACTACCTAACCAGGCGGGTTCAAGCGACACCCGTTCTCACACAACGACACCACCCACTCGTGACGCCATCAACACAAACTAGTGCTAGTCATGTTCGCCGCTCTTGAAGTGGACACCACCACACCAACTGCGAGAGGTACGTACCACCGTTCTAGAACTCTCTAAACGGGTCGTTTCCACACGAAAGTTCCACTCGCGTCTGCATGGTGCCCAGGCAGACCCTTTGAATCTTGTGTCGTAAGTCTTCGTGCAGGCGCAGGTCGGCCTTTTGCTTGGAGCGGGCCAGCCGGTATCGGAACTGGGGCAGGTGCCGGGAGGCTGCTGACACCCCACACGTTTGCCCGGGAAGGCTCATTCTTGCTCACGGCCGCGTTCCGTGGTTTATCCTTCAGTTGCGCTTTCAGCAAGGCTGCTAGAGTTGACGGCTTTGACTCCACTCCGCCCACAGGTTCCCGCACAAACACAGGCTTGGGGACATCTTGTTCGCGAACAGCGCCGCAGAGCGGCAAGCTCCTATCCTCGTCTCCATACTCGCTTCGAGCACTCTCTGTCGGCACGTCCGGTGCCTTGACCAACGCCCCTGCCTGCATCGCTTTCGCTTTCCCTTTCTTTCTGATGCGCTTGCCCTTGACCTTTTTGGGAGGCCCTGCACTTGGTCCATCGCCTCCTCCCTGAGCAAAGCTAAAGCCATCTCCTTGAGCTTGTTGCCAGTCGCCCTCCTCGATAAAGCTATCAGCCACAAAAGAAAAGCCACGAAACATCTCCCCAACCTCCTCCGACCCAGGTGGGTCAAGGCTTCCTGCATGGCTCAACAGAGACTCCTGGGAAAGAGATCTGGGGAGGGCCATGTCAACGAACTCCGTGGCAAAGTTACTGGTATCAGTGGTGCTGACCAACTCTGGTTTCAAAGGGGGCTCAACCTGCAGCGCGACAAGCTTTACCCAATCGATTCCTTCGAAAAAAGGATGGTGCTTCACGGCGGTGGCACCTCCAATATCGAACATTGTCGTCTTCTTGGCGCCGAGCCGTCTGCTGACATTCCGTTCAAGGAATCCTCGCAGTACCTGAAACAACCGTGCAAAAAACGCGTTGTGCATCCAAACAGAGAACATGGAAACAAGCAGCCTGCTGCGTTAGCACGGACGTCTGCCGAGCATGCGCTAGACTCTACTAGCTCCAACAGAATCCAACATTGGGTGGGGGGGGGTGACCGTACAGATGTTAGATCCGAATAATATGAGTTACCTGATGCGCAGTCGGGCTAAGCCACTTTGGGAGAGAAACCCTCTCGTTTAGAATCTTCCGATTGAGGTCCTTCGGTGTTTTGCCCTGAAATGGGGGATATCCCGCTGTCATCTCGTACACCAACGCCCCCATGGACCACCAGTCGACTGCCTTCCCGTAGCCTTTGCGAAGGATCATCTCCGGAGCCATGTACTCGTTCGTCCCACATATAGTCTTCAAGCCCTCGTCTTCATCGTGTGTTAGCTCCTGAATGATTGTTTTTTTATAGGAAAGCATCCGTGCAAAGACCTGAGCGGAGCTAGCAAAGAGTAGTTACCCCTTGCGAGATTCTGGGGAGAAGCGCCGTTTCCTGCATGTAGTAAAACGCAGTCCAGAAACCCTTCTCCTAAACGATGGCATCCTACCCTGCTGCATAAATAGAACATGGCTCCTCAAGAGGAATCAAAGACCAAGCAAGGGACCACCTTCGCCAGCCCGAAGTCGGTCACGCAAATATGTCCATTCGCTCCCAACAGCAGGTTCTCAGGCTTGAGGTCTCTACCAGAAATGAACAAGAACACGCGCGGGGTGTGAGGAGAGGCAAAGTCAGAGAGTGTACGCGGAGTAACTTTTCTGTGAAACAACGGTCAACAGATGGTGAACATTTTTCACCAAGCAGGCCAGTCTTCTGCTTTCGCGATTGTTTCTTCGCGGGTACATATACGTTTCTTTACGTTTGCCGCCCTCACATGGTACACCCCAAGTTATCGTTACCACCAACAGTGCCATCGGAAAAAAATGGTTTTGCCGTTACCCTCCAAACCGGTACCAAGCGTATTACCTGTCCCATCATTGTCGACACTTTCAAGTTACATTGATGTATTGTCATAATTTCCATCGACCGTACAGAACCCCGACAAAATACAACGCAGTACTGCACCAGTAAGTCCCAGCGTGTCAGCGGGCTGCGTGTGATCGCTCAATCCCCACGCCCGCGGTTCGAACCCCGTGATGGAAGCTTTAGCTTCTCTACTTCTTCGTGTCTTGCTCAATTTCTCAAACTATTTTATTTTTGAATATCTCGTATCCATATGGCGACAATTCGTTGCACATGCCATCCCACACCCCACACCCGAACACGACAATCATAACCGAGGGGGGGCTAAACAGAAATCGTCGATTCTATTTCGGATTCCAGTGGTGATCTCTGTAGGGTGGCTCTGTCTGCCGTCGATGTTTCCGCCGGTGTAGTGGTGCTTGAGCCACCTACTGACACTTATCTTGTCCCAGCTTGGCCGATCAATACATACCTAGCCACGCGTACTAGCTCTGCATTTAGGTCGTGATGACAAGGTCGCAAGATTCTGTCTGCAACCATCTGGAGACAAGCATGCCGGGTTATATGCTTCAATAGTTGCCGGGACGTTGGTTAAGAAACGGATGGTGTGCAAGGTGCGTACATAAACGATAGTGCAGTGACACAAGCTCATCAAGCATTAAGCCTTACAAATACAGTGTCGGTCCAAAAATGGAGTGTAATGCCATCGTGGCCAGCATGTAACAGATCAAACTTGTATACTGCTGCTGTAAAACACAGTTATCGAAGTACCTGTGGATGATTCCTTTCCCATGCAAGAACTCCAGGGCTAGCACCATCTCCGCCGCGTAAAACTTAGCGTACTCCTCTAGAAATAATCCCTTCTTGCTGAGGTGGAAAAAAAGTTCACCGCCAGGGAGGTACTCCATAACCAAAAAGAGCTTATGTTCCGTCTGAAAGGCGCACTGCAACGCAACCACAAACGGGTGCACCACCTGTCGAACAAGATTATGGAACAACGGGCAGCGTGGGTTAGCATTCAACACGAATTCCTGTATTTGTATATGCAACGAGGCCCAAGAACGCGTATGAACGACGCGTGGCAACGCGTGATTCCGACAACGTCGCAAGCCGATCTACCTTCGTCATGATGTCTCGCTCAGCTTGCATATAAGCCGTGTGGTTGCGCCTGGCAAGCATCTTCTTCGATATGCACTTCATAGCGAGAATTTGCCCATTCCTCCGGCTTCGCACCTGCAAATGCGAAAAGTTGCGTCAACAAGCAAACGCTCAGGGTGCACGCAGGTTTGTAATATGTGTTTTTGTGTTGACTTTCAACGAGGCAGGTATCCTCGGACTAGCACAAATGGAATCGCCCTGATGTTCTTTGTTTTGCCTTACCTGTATAATTCTAAGCGCCAACAGTAGTTGCACGCCGTAGCTTCGGCGGCAAGTGTTGAGAGTTCGGGATCTACATGTATAACCTTTTGCAGCAATCATCCATGCCGTTATGTATGATTGCACGACGATGTGCTGCTTTGTCTAACCACGGTACTGATTCAACATCGTGATATGCATATGCCCGATCTGCTGCATTTCAGCTCTGTCTTGGGTTCCACGGCCGTCGGTTTCTGTGCCAGCAATACTACTGCGGTACAGTCGTATTATCGATTGTGTTCGTCGCCATTTCATGCGCGCATGGCTAATGACACAAGATCGGCCAGCACATGATCTCAGGCCACACAAGCCGTTATCCGGGAATGCAGGCAATGACCCGCCCCCCTTGTAAAACAAGCCGCCGCCCCCCGGTGTTTGCGATCGGGATTGGGTTTCGTCGCTTGGCAACGAATTTGTAAAACAAGCCAATTCACTTCGTGAACTCGGCAACCAGGTTACCGTTCT